ATCAGGACATAGGATGCAAAAATGACAATGCGTGGATAGATGGATGGTTTGGCTTTGTGGATGGGCTGTGACAGCAATGGTTTGGACCAAGCTGGGATGTCATCTGGCTTTTATGGTCAAGCTCTATGCCTTCACTTGTTCTGGTCTCAAACTGACCTGGAGTGGATGAACTATGTTGTCCTCTCATGTTCCTGCAGTATGATGTAGTTTGTCTCACGATTAAAGTAAAAGATGAGAAAAAGTGACAAGAGAGGGACAACAAAGCTGCAGAGGAATGCACAATGGAAAAGATACGGGATACAAGTGTGATCAGGCTGGAACACTCTCTTGTCTAATTTTGACAACCACGTATCCTCATGAGTGTGCTGGTTTTGTCTTGCTGGTGTTTGAAGGATGTTTGAAACGATGCTCTTGGGATAACATAGAGTCTGTTGGCCTTTCACTGGGGAATCCCTTAGATTTCTGTCTATCCTCTCTATCCTAGAGGTCTGCCTTTCAAAAAAAAAAAAAAACCCCAAAGCAGAAAAGCCTGCCTCGTCTTTATTTAGTATCTGATGAGGGCTTGTTTCTCTTGTATACCAACCATTGTACTATCAGGTCTTTGTGTTTGGGCAGCTGCTGTCTTTCTACCATCTTTTCATACATCTGCCACCTACATTAGTAGGTACAGAGTCTTGCAACTTCTAAACTCCACTTTCCAAATGCTGCACTTGCTATTAGAGGGACTCTTCCAGGGGAAGAAAAGGCTCTTGGAAAATGATTTATCTCTTCTGGAAACAACAGAGTTACATAATGATAATTCTGAGGTCTCTCTCTCTGGAAAAGGACATAGTTGAGCAATAATTTATCACGAATTCAGAATGGCATTAGTATCTTGTGCAAGCAGCTAAATGCTCTCATAGCCATTAACTTCAGTTAAATCAGGCCTTTATCTTGCCTAGTAAGTTTCAGATCTGTTTTCTTCTGTAACTTTCATATGTAATTTTCCTTGCCTTTTCTGTCCAGGTTCTTGTTCCTTGTATCCAGTCCATGGGTTAGATCTCACTTCCCCTAGTGGTCACTAGTTTCTGTGGTTATTCCACTGTCACAGAGTTCACAAGTACACACAATTTTCTCTTAAAAGGGTAGCTTTATAATCTTTATTTCATTACTTTCTAGCAAACTCATCAAGATCTGATTCTGTTAAAAGATTTTGAGTTTTTAAAAGGCTTGTTCAGACCCTATCACTTGGGAATACAAAGGAAAAATTTACAGAAAAGTGAAACGATGGTGGGTTTTCCTTTATAAATCAAGTCTGTGTGTATTTTGAAGAACTGTACAATTCTTTGTACAGTCAACTGTTACATATATTTCATTTGCTTAATTAAGGATTGTATACACACACTTCTACTATTCTTTTCATTGATGCAGTCTGACTGTTTGAAGAAAGAATAACCACATGGGGAAGTTGAAGTGAAATGATCTTTTGGCCTCACCAAAACTGGAAAGTAAATCACGAGATTATATTTATGCCAAAACAAAACATATGGTTTTCGATCAGGCTGCTAGTTGCGACTGGGATATTCATAGTAAATTCAGAAAGAATACAGTTGGAACCATTACATTTCTTGTGTTTTCATTACACTATACTTCTGTACACAAATGTGCAGTTATGTAGAATCATGGAATCATAGAATCATTAAGGTTGGAAAGGAGCTCTAAGATCATCAAGTCCAACCGTCAACCCAACACCACCATGCTTGCTAAACCATGCCCTGAAGTGCCATATCTACAGGTTTTTTGAACACTTCCAGGGATGGTGACTGCACCACTTCCCTGGTGGAGTCACCATCCCTGGAGGTGTAAATTGTAAATAATGGAAAATCACGCTTGTTTACACTGAAGAGTAATTTAGACCTAGTTGTGAAAGAATTCTGTAGAAGTGTGTCTTGGTATCTGTGTCAGTCTCTGCAGAAGGCAGTGGGAGGCTGGGAAAGCACTATGTATACAGATATCCTTGATGAATCTGCGGCGTGGGAGCTAAAACCTGGGTATTGTTCTAGATTTGAGCAAACATATTTGAATAATGCAACCATCTCGTATCAAAGCAAATGTTACTGTGCACCTTATGTGCTGCTTCCACTTCAGATCACAAGCTGAAAAGCCTGAGTTTCCCAATAAAGCGCAAAGACAAAGTTCAGAAAATAACCTCAGTACTTCTTGTATTGAGACTCCCACAGGCACTTTGCACTTTAGAGGGGAAGGGTAGGGTGAACTTAATCTCCCTTCAGAATCTTTTTAAGTTCCCATTTCATGATTTACAACCTATTGTATGTGCTAATTGAATAGGTAACTGCTGTCGCTTCTGGGAAGGGAAACACAGAAACTGTGGGGATTACTCTATAAGCAGGGCCACAAATAAAAGATTATTTCTTTTTCCCAGTTCCCCATCCGTCTACCTGGCCAGTCAGGTTGTGCTTTAGAATCCACAATATGGCTTCTGCTATAACGTAGCTTATGAAAGCAGGAACTGGTGACATATGTTAAAGAGAAACAGAAAAATTTCACAGAGTTTCTTACTTTTTTCGAATTCTTAGAGTGTTACCTTTACCACTTACTACTCACTGTAAGTAAATGAGAGAGGCTATGTTGCTGATTCTAAACCTTTCCACATGCCCAGGAGTTTTTTACTCTTGAAAAGCTTGTAAATCTCCATGACTAGGGCAAGGTTTGTGTACAGTACTGGGAATAAATTTATTAAAAGAAATACATTGACAATCCTAATATGGCAGTAGTGAATGGTTCAGTGGATTTGAAAGCATGTGTGAATGTAATTGATCTTGTTACTCCAAAGATGTAGAAAACTTCTCAGAAACCATGTATCATAACAATAAAAGTTTCTCCAAAGCCTTGTTTCCAGCTTCCAAAAGGTCTACATGCTGAAAGCCTTTTATCCAGAACATTCAAATTACTGTAGTTTGACACAGTACATTTTCTTAAATTTCAAATGGAAGAGGTAGCAGAATAATCAACTTATTGCTACAACTTTCAAAAGAAATGACCTGCTGAGTAGGCCGTTCAGGTAATCAGATTGTAATTTATGAGTTCTGAAGACTTTAGACACTGAGGTACAGTCACAGTATTTCTGACGGTTTAGAATTTTTTACAGAAGTTAAAAAAAAAGCATGCATTTGTTGAGCATCAGAGACAAAAGGCTTTGTAATTCTCTCTGGCATTGCAATTAGCTTGACTTTCTGTTTAAGTGGGTAAAATCAGTGCTTTGTGTACTCTTGTGGTAGGAATCTTGAATGATCAGCGATACATATACGTATCTCTGCAGTGTAATTTGTGTGTGTGAGTACATATGCATCAATCAGCAGTAGATGGCTTAAACCTGATAATCTCCATAGTAAACTTGTACTTCCTCCCCTCCCTATATGTGCAAAAGAGATAATAAGACGGTGCTCTGGGGATAAGTTTCATATATGTCTATGTTGTTTTGGCTGCATTTATTGTAAGTAACTTTGTAATACAATACAAACAGTTTGGAAAAAAGCTGAATTTCTTGGTGGTACTGAAAGACTGAGAAAGTTAACTTTAAGTTGCAGGAGTCACAGGTCAAACTATTCCAACATAACAGGCAATTCATGTAATGAGATACAATAAAATGGAAGGCAAAAGGAGTAAAACCGCCATTTAGAAGCTCTTGTTAACGAGGTAATAAAAATTACAGAACACGTGCTGAACTCTTCTGTGTGAAGACACAGTTCATTCGTCAACCTCTTTCTAAAATTTTTCCAAACCCCTGTTTATTGCACTTTGTAGTGATATTGCTTTGATTCTAAACAAATGATTCAGAGCCCTTCCTAGTTAAAACATCCCTGCTTCATACCATTAGCCTTGTATTTTAACTTCCCCACACACATCAGATTCCACTTTAACAAGTTGTGAGTCAGATACAATAGCATATCTCCCGTAGCTGCACCCCTGCTGTCTCTGCTGGCTGGGAAAGGACTCCCTGCTGCAGAGGCCTCTTGGAATCCAAAGGTGGCTCCCGCCCAGTGCAGTGGGGCCAGGTCACTCCCCTTTTGCTCCGTCCTTCACTACACTGTGTTTTAATTGTACTGAATTCAAATGCATTGAGCTTTTGCTCTCAGTTCATATTAAAGACTGATCCTGAAAGACGTTGACTAGGGGTGACCAATTAAAACATTTTTGAAGTAAGCTGGTTTTTATCCGCTTGGAAATGTTCAACTTCTTTCCCCCCCCCCAAGAAGACAGGTATCTTTGACAGTGCCTGGGTGTATTGATTGTAATTTCTTCCTGTTTTACTTTACATATTTTCATTTTCCATCCACACATGCATGGCTTTTTTCAGATACAAAATGGAGAAGAGAAACAAGGACAAAGTGAGGGCAGGGGGAGCAGCAGGGAAGAAAATTGCTGAGAAGGGAAAGAAAAACTGATACACACACACCAAACCAGAAGAATTTCTGTTTTCACAAAGGAACTTGCAGTTCTCCAAAGAGCTGGCAGGAATAATGATAGTCTGGTACATTGTCCTGGGTTCGGCTAAACTACAACATACATAATCCAGGATCTAGCACAGTCTGTCCTTCTCACGCAGGACACTCAGGTTTTTAGGGATACATTAACTTTAAAGTAGTATGTATTTTCTTATATTTATTAGGTATTGAGTTCCCAGTTCCAGAAATAAACAGAAACTATAGTATGCCCCAAAAGAGCTGCATGACCACTTTCTAAAGGCAGTACATGCACTGAAAATTTTAAAAGATTGTATAACCACAGCAAGGATATAACAAAATGCTCAGCTTCTCTAACCCTACAGGAAGATGTGCTACAATATCTCCACAGCCAATCAGCAGTACTATAAGCCTCAGACCAGGAAACTCTTTAAAGTACAGTATGTGTGAACACTGCAACAGGGACTTTCTCATTGCTGCTCTTTCTTTTTCTCTTCTTTATGCTTATAGAATGGCAAGGCAGATGTGAAGTCACTCATGGCGAAATTTAACACGGGTAACAGCCCCACAGAGGATGTTTCTGCTAACAGTCGACCCTTCAAAGTCCCAGGACAACATATCCATACGGGATTACAGTCGAGGAAAGCGGCACTTGAGAAATTCGCAAATCAAGGAAATGCAGCTTCTTCTTCAGGACCCAGCACCTTTCACAAACCTGTTCATCCTAAGCCCCCTCTGGGGGTCAAGCCTTCAGTTGATGATAAAACAGTGAAGGATCTAAAGCCCCCATATTTGAAACCAGTGGCACACAGGTTTGGGGTTCATCTTCAGGCAGCGAACAGAGAAAATGATGGAAAAACTGGATGCAATAAACCCCCCACCAAAACTGCCGACTTGGCAAAAGAAGAACCAAATCCTCTGCAGCCAAAACCTGCAGGGAACAAGTTCCTTAAATCTGCTCCTCATGAAAAAGAAAAAAATCCTCTGGGAACAAAGCCACTTTCAAATTTTATGCCACAAGACAGTGAGGCAAAACCAGCATTTTCAAAAGCACCTGGAGTTACTGAAAAGTCCCTGTCTGCAACAAAAGAAAATGAGCCTAAGCCTCCTTTCTCTAAACCACCTCTTGCACAGAAGCCTTCTCTAAACCATGAGATCTCCCACATTGAAGACACTTCTAATAAAAACATTTTTCTGCAAAAAGGACTATCAGGCCCTAGACCGAATATACACTCATTTAAAGCAGCAAAGGAAGTGGATGAAAATAGTAAGTGTCCTGCAGAACCTGCAGTCAGTCACTTTTCTAATGTGGCTCTGAAGCCTACTAGCCACTGGTCCAGCTCGTCTCAAGGGACCCCCAGAAACGTGGAGGAAAAGACTGAAGAAAAAGGAATGAGTGCTGCCAAGAATATCTTTGTCAACAAAAGCATCCAGGAAGATTCTGGTTCTTCTAAGTTTCAGAAGACAAACACAGTGCTTGCTGCAGGAAGGCCATCAGGTGTGTCACAAGAGAAAGAGGATGGGGACAGGAGCTCAGGAACCCCCAAGAGGAAAGCCTTGCCCCCACTGTTCAAACTGGGCCAGCCCCCACAGAAGCCTAGCAGACCCCCCAGCGTGGACCTGCAAAGGTTCCAGAAGAGCAGCCCAAAAGACAGTGAGTCCTCTCTGTTCTTGTTTTCTTGGGTATTGACTTTTTTTTTTATGCATTTAGTACCTGATTCATTTCAGGTGGAATCCCCTCTTCTGTTCAGAAATAACACAAGACTTGTGCATAAGACAGCCCCTTAAAGCTTAAACCTATGAATGTGTCTCTTCCATACAGGGCAGAAACTAAAATTATTTTCTCCCTCCCTCAGCAATAAAGTGTAGGATGAACACTTTCTATATTGGGCTTATTTACTTTTCAAAACTGCTTAGATGTAGCTATAACTTGTGTCAGGGAGATGAAGTATTTTTCTCAACAGCCATTTAAGTCCTAACTTCCTATAAATGAGATATTGATGTTGTGTGCCCTGTTCTCAACAGTAACTTCCTGGACACATCTTGAGGGCCACCAAAATGACATACTACAGATACTATACTACTACTACTGCAGGGATCACACTTTTTTTTTTCCCTCTCACTTTTTTTGCCTTTCACAATGTGTGACAGTTAGTAGCACCTGAGGCTCTGCTTCATTATTTTTGTGAAGAACCAAGCCTCTGAACTTTCTGATGGTCACAATTCAGGCATGAATATTAAGGCTTGTCACTAGGTTTCTATAAAATTTGGGATGGTCTTGTGTGTGATGAGAGCTTCTGTAAATAGATTTGAAATATCTGGGAGGACACAAATCCCTGTGAAAAAACAAAATTGCTGTGACTCCACTCCTGCAGACAGTTCTGCTTCAAAAGGTTCCTTTCACCATGTAAGACAGGTTGCAACAACGATATAAGCTGTTTCTGATGTATGCTAAATATGCCCTTGAAAATCTAATGTAAAAATGTAGTTTCCGAAAGTTAGACACACATATCCACTGACATCTCCTTGGAGGAGAGATCAGTTTTGCAGAGATTCTGAATATCCTTAATTCTGTATTAAATCACCTGTATTTCAAATTTTGGGTTTTCCAACTAAGTTTTTAAGCACTCTGACAATTCTAAAAAGTTAAAAAAACCCACTCCAGTTGGAATGGGTGATACCAATTGACACATTTGTATTACAAGTTTTATGGTAGCTGAAGGAGGCTTTCTCTTTTTTCTTACAGCAACAGGTGCTAGGAACTATGATTGCATGAGAAACTCATCACATTTTAAGATTAAAGTTTTAATTTTTATGGGTCCAGAGGAAAGCTGTTCTTGATCTCAGTGCATGAGAGGAACAAAGGTTTCTTGTTGTGTTAATTTGTTATGTTTTTGAGGGTTTTTTTTTATATTTCCTTTTTAGTATATTTCTCTTTTTTTCCCTTAATGCACTGCTGCCTGCATTGAGCTAAGAAGCAAAGAATATAGTCAATCCTCATATATACTTTTTTAGCTCAGGTAATTTTAACCAGTTATGTCCTGTAACTAATTGTGTCAAGTGATACACACAGTTAGGTAATTTATGATGATGAAGGGCATTTCACCTACGTTAGTCTGCCTTACCCACCTCTCTTCAATTTTCAGTGTAGTCAGTGGGAAAGGATGCCTAATGGTGTGATTCAGAGCATTAAAGTTAGATGCCTAATGTAGCTGACAATTGATGCTCTGAATGATTCCACAATGTGCATGTGCAGTACATCAGGTACATTCATGTAATTGAATTGATACAAAATTTGTCCATGTGCCTTCCATATATAGAATACAGCATAGCTTGTGCCTCTGAAGTTTTAAATGCATGTAAAACTGGTCTTCCTAAGACAGAATACATTCAAAGGGCTACGACCGAATGAAGAAACTCAGAGCTGACTTTCTCTAAAGGCAAAAAGCCAGACTAAAAACAGAGTGTGCATGCAACTATATATTCACTTATTTATTAATTCAATTCAAAAATTAGGAGTGTATCAGTAACATAAAATGTACTTTCTTGTCAGCTGCTACATTCTGATTTTCCTATGTTACCCTACAGTTATGGAAATGTTCTCACAAACCCATGATCAGGGCCAGATCCTCAAACAGTGTAAATTTGTGTATATATTTAAAAGAAATATGCCAATATACAACAGTCTGAGCAGCTGTCCCTTCTCCGTAGAGCACTGTTCAGCGAGGCTGGCTTTACTTGAGAGCCCAGAGAAGTCTCAAAATGGAAAGGCAGCATCTAGAGCAAATGACACCAGAAAATGTTTTGATTAAACAAAAACAGTAAGAGCTGTGCTAGCTGGAACTTTGAGAAGTCCTGACGAAGGCTGGAACACCCAAAGCTACGATTTATTTCTTAAAAATACATTTTCCACTTTACTTTTAAGTAATTAACAAGAGGAATTTTTTTGTTTTGTTTTGTTTATTTGTTGCTTATTCAATTGTCTAATTTTTTTTCTGGTTCCTATGCAGCTACAGACACAAAGAATTTTTTCATCTTCTTTTTAAAACTGAGGGTTAGGTATATTCATCCTACGCATTTAAAACAAATACTGTGAACAGGGCTATAAGGATAAACCCGGAACTTTTGCTAGAAGGAGAATCTCCAGTTGTCACTAACTAGGACCAGCGCAGCCACCAGCCTGGATGAGTGGCACTGGGAACATGAGCTAAGGATGGAGCTGCCCAGTGTGGTGGCACAGGTTGTTCTCCAATCATGTTGCAAAATATACAAACCAAACGGTCAGACATGGTCTTCTCAACTTCCCAGTCTTTGGGTCAGGGCAAGACTGAAAGATTTAGAAACCACATCAGTATGAAGCTGTTCATAGCGGCCCTGAACTTCTGAACTGTAGAGCTGGCATATAGATCTTGGTGTTCTGTATGGCTTTAATTAATGCATCTCATTTCTTTGTGGCCAGAACTCTCCGTAGAACAGTTCTGGTGGAGAAACCAGGTGTTCTAGAGTGCATCCTGAACAAGCTTGTTTTCAGCTCAGCAAAGCTTGTTTTCAGCTCAGCAAAGTTGTTAATTGTTGCTGGGTTTCTTGGAATGTTAAACTTGAATGACAAAACCTACCTGCTTTGGAAAAGCAGTTAAATTGAAATGTTTTCTTTGGTTTTTTTTAACTGTCATTTCAAGAATCAAAGTCGTGTCAGGAAGATGCCACCCCCACAGTACAAATTCTTACTGCTCATTACTTTGTCCTGATAAACAGCAGCTTGCCATAGTTGCTTAATTTGCTGCTGTGATTCAGGTGCTGAATAAAAGGGAAAAAAAACAAATGGAAATAGTTTTACCATCTAACCAAGCTTTCTGAGATCTAGCCTTCAGGGGTTTTGATCTGTACTAGGGTAAAAGTCAGGCTTTGTGTTGCCCTTTAAGAAGAGAAAAGCTCCACACATGGTGGTTGTTATATTTGCGTTCGGTGCATGTGCCTGGGGTGCAGGAAACCTTGTATAGCCTAACTTAAACCAGGGGTTTGAACTCAGATGTCTCAGAAGTGTCAGTGCACCCCTTTTTATTTGGTTGTTATCCTTTCCCATGAAGGCTGCTTCACTGTTTTTTCATAATCAAAACATTATGAAAATATATTAATAATATTTTATATATTATATATTACATATTCAGAAATAATTTCACTGGGCATGAAATAACTTTAAATGTCAGAGGCTGAAGGACTCACCATAGATGCAGCAGTCTTATTCATGTATGGGAGGAGGATATAAACTGTCCAGCAAGCCTGCATGAATACTAAGGGATGCTGCTTTGGTGTTGGCCTTGCTTTGCATTAGAAATTTTCAACTTGTTCTGAAAAGCTTTTCTTGATAAAAATTCCACAGATACAAGTGTCTTGCTGAGGAAATTTTGACTATTGATACATTACTATCTTCCACTGAAGGCAGTCTTTCAGGAATTTCTTTCTAGGTCTGTGTATATGTGGCACTGTGGTAAATTCCTGTGTTATGTACCACTACAGCAATTTTCCCTGAGAGTAGATCGTATTTACATCAGCTCAGAATCAATGAGATGCATGGGCTTTCTAGATTCAGAAAATAATACTGATGATACTGTTTTATAACAAACACCCAAACCACAAACACGGCTTTTTTATAAAAAAAGAAGAGAAACAAAGTCATTTTGCTGGCAGCTTTCCATGTGAGGCCACAAACACATGGTTGCTTTCAGAGAAGAACTGCACCTGGGCTGACCTCAGTGGCATCATGCATGTGCAGATGGCCACCCACATGAAGTCAGTTGAAAGCTCAGAGTCCCTAGCACGCTAAACACCTCTGAATGCCTTGTAAGCTATCAACACTGGGACTTCAGCTGGAGGCAATATCCTGAGATATACTGGGAGAAATGAAAGGAAACTGTTCTGAATCTAGGGGAAAAGAAGACATGTAAGAAAATTCTCATGATTTATAATTTGAGTTATGGTTGCATCTGCAGTCCTTGTTGAGGTTCTGTTCTGCGATGGATTGTGTATCCACACAGTGACCCAGCTATTTGAGTTGGGTAAGACAACCAGAGAGGAAGAAGGAGTTGTTCAAATTTGACGTGCAATGTCAAAGTTATCACAACACTTTGTTGGTAAAGTAGTTAACACCCAAGCACGACTCTCGAGGACAGTAACTGTCTTAACTGTCTTTACAAAGCCCCTTAGAACTAGTCAATTGTTGGTCTTACTTGAAGGCAAGATGAAACAGCAGCTTCCAAAGTTATAAAGAATAGGGAATTTTTTAATCACAGGATGTCATAGCTGATTATTGCAGAATTTGGACTTAAAATGTCAATGAAGGTTTTCTTTTTTTACTTTAGTGCTAGATGAAATAAAGCTACACAACAGCTCAGTACTAAGGTGTGAGGGGATAAAAAGAATTGTAACTTGAGACAAATCATCTGTGTCTAAAATAGATGAAATTAACAGTAGACAATGATATCAAGGTAGACAATGATATCAAGCAATGCTTTTCAGGGCGGGGTGGGGGTAGCGTTGTGTAATGATGTGATGCCTCTGCACAGGTGAACTATAGCGCACTATAAAACCCTGTACAGATCAAAAAAGTGTCAAAAACAGCAATTTCCTAATAGCATATTAATAATGTGCAACATA